AAAAATATATATATATATTATATTATTACGATGACTATATTTTGTTAAAGAAAATAAAGGACAAATCTGAAAATTTTAGGGCTTTGTTTCTACATATTTTCAAACTAGTTTATGACTGACAAGAATTTGTGCATTATAAAATTTTGGCACAATATAATCAAATTAAGGTAATGCGCAGTTTTCTGATAGTTTGAAACTGGTTCGACTGTATTGAAACAAACCCTTGATCTGAAATAATAAAAGATTCGAAATAATAAAAAATGAAAACAACTCTAGTTTGAATAAATTTAATTTCAAAAAAAATTAAGAAATATAATTAAGAAAAACAAATTATATTTATATGCATAAAACTGTAAAGTATTTTCCGTAAAAATTTGCTCATTAATATAATATTATAGACATTGGAACGCTAGTTAGAAAAGAATTTCCCGTAATGTCAAAATAAAGGACAGTAAACGACAATATTGAAAAATAAAGGACAAAATTGAGTATTAAAGGAACAAATAAATTTAAAGGAAGGAATAAATTTAAATTTGAAGTTACCTAAAATAAAGAATATATAGTCACCGTACATATTGTACATATTTAAAAATTAACTTGCTACGCAAAAGATTTTCTTGCCTTCTTACTGAAGAGCCAGGGAAGAATAATGAGCTGAAAAAAAAGGTTTGTACAACAATATGCATATTTATTATCTGAAAGTTTTACATCTCTAGGATGCCATTGCATAGCGTATTCCGTTATCGGCGATTCGAACGATGTAACAATCCACGATAGTCACAAGCTCCTCCCACAAAGAGTGCCTTTCATTTTATTATTTATTTAGTAAAGTATCGTCGAATCGCGACCGGTCAACCCTTTACAAATATAATATCTGTATATAATATATGAATCTCGGACGAAAAAAACGCATATATCAAGGAATCACAACCGCTCCTTTGACATAATTAATCTTGCGTTTCTTTTTGGGGGGGCTAGGGAGAAACGCAGGGAAGGAAGGGAGGAAAGGACATCTTTCGTTTCGTCGGCTCCAATTCTAAAACAAAAATTTGCACTATATCTCTCTCGCACATCGAATAATAAATACTTTATCAAGCGCTATCCAACGTTAAATAGCAATCAAATAATGAACAACCATTGAGTAAAATATAGCATAATAATGTGAGAACCAATTGTGGCATCGTTGCCACAAAAAGGCCCGTTTGATTGATCTCTGCTTCTGGGTAAATTTTCAGTTTTGATGTACGGTCTTCGTGTTTCCAGATCGTCTTCGCAATCATAATAACTCACACGATACAATTTCATTAATCGTCAGTCTATATTTAATCGGTTTTATAACAAACGCGTTTTATCGATATCTCGTAAATTTCGACGTATACATGTTTATTGATGTAGTATTCATAAATATTTTGCCAATAATAAATATTAAATCTGTAGAAAACACATTTGCGCATTATTAGAGAACAAAAACCTTCGCTGTGATTATAATCTCTCAAATGTCATTATTTAATCAATTGTTGCTTCCGGAAATGCAAATTTTCTTCTTCGTACATAATGTAATTTATAAGACTTCTCTACGGATTTCATAATGCAATAGTATTTTAATAATAATATTCTTCGAAATCAGAATAATATTCTTAGAAATTAGAAAGTCGGAACGCACTTTCTTTCCGATAGATGTGACTTTATTGCGCAGATGATCGCAAATAATAATACAATATCACTTGTAGAACAAAAGCGCAGCAAGGAAACGTTATATAATGCATTATTTTAAAAGTCTATAAAACAATCGTATTACTGCAGCGATTTCAACAGTAATGAATAGAAATTACATGAAATTTGAGATCAATAAAAAAAAAGAAAACAAAAAACTGGATAAACATATTCTATAAATATTTAAATAAATGCACCAAACATTTAAATGCGGTGTGCCGTCGAAGGTTTTTCTGTTCAAAAATTAATAAGCTGTATATTATCACATAAATATCCCTTATGTTTAAATAGCGTAAACATACATAACAAGTGCAAAATTTCAACTCATCAAAATCTAAATACATAAGATCCGCCTGTAAAATCACTAACGAAATGTTCGCGCAATTTGAAATAATCTTTACAATATGCGATAAATCTTCCATAAATCGATAACAATGCGTATTTGCATTCATGTTTGTTTTTATCGCGAGAATAAAAAGCTGAAATTCTGCATCTAAATTCTGTATACATGCGACGTCCTCATTTTTCTCTCCTTCACGATTTTCCTCCTTCTAGTATCTTTCGAATAAAGGCGTAAGTATATTTAAAAATACTAGCTCTCTGTGTTTCTCTCCGGATTTATCGCCCGAGAATAAACAACCTAATTCGTCTACGACATATCTCTGGAACGTGCAGTCACTATCACGCTCGGAATACTGCACATGACGGTATAATTAAATTTGTAATGGGTAATGGTTTAAGAGAAAAAAATAAATGGTCAAAAATATATATATATATATATATGTATATATATATATCTATCTATCTATATACACGCGCATCTCTCACGAAATGATATTTAAATTAGCTGCTAAAGCAATGATAAAAATACTATTAAAAATAAAAATAATATTAATAATATATAATAACAGCGAGTCTCATAATTACACTCAACATCAACAGTGGAAGCAATAAATACAAATGAGAATGATGAAATGCTTTTCAAAGAGCACTAGCTTTACACAAGGGATCATTTCATTCATGGTAGATAATTGCCATAAAATTGCTGTAAAATTCTGAGAGCAATCCCTTCGTACGATGATAATCGAAACTTGATTCACCGCGAATTATTTATATTTCTTATCATGTTAAAATGCAATTGAAAGAGAAGTAAATCTTACACTTTTTTTTAGGTTTATATTTATCAGATTAGGTTAATTCTGTATCTCGGCGTCTTCGTGCTGAAACACATGAAAATCAAAGGCTAGATCAGATACACAGCATCCGAGAAACTCGATGTTTTCGACAAGCGCATCGGCTATAAAGCATTCAGAATTTTCGCAAACCCAAACTGTGTCCGAGTAATTCCATTAATATATCTTTAAATCATAAATCAAGTTCACTTAAATCGTGTTTGCCCCGAAGTGCGTGTACATGTGTTGGAAACGTCACATACTAAGTATTACATCTAAATCATCGGTGAATCATTGTACAAACTTAAATATATCGAGCAACGTTCTACATTTCGCTTCCTTCCGCTCTCCTTTCGTTTCTTTCTTTTTTTCTGTTCTTTTTCTCTTTTTCTGTTCAACTGATAATCGTGGGAAATAGACTCGTAATAATGTACATAAGTGGTCAGCTAGTGTGATTAAGTAAGCTTTGACAAGCATAAAGCAGATTTACCTAGCATGATAGCCTCCATTAAGGATAATCGCGTTTGTTGTGCAGGTTCGGTTGAAGGCTGTCATTTCTTTTTCGCTGGATTCCTTTGTGGTGTAGATGGTCTACCTGCTTGACCCGTGTTCATTCCTCCATATTGGTATTTTGCCTTCTTCTCCGATGGTTTCAAAATCTGCAAAAAAATGCGAGAAACACACGACGAGATAAACTTGGATGTTGCATCAATGACATTAAAGAGGAATGAAAGGAAAATTCTCTCGTCAATTACCTGAAAACTGCACATCAACGTTTCGTCAACGCTCATCATTCCGCCAGCATTATCAAATTCGCCACAGTAATTTGGCGCAGAGAAAAGTGTGACGAGTTGTCGCTTGGCGAAAAATTCATAGCCATCCTCGACTACTTGATGCGCCCTGCATATGAGATCCATATCGTGACGATTCAGAAACTTCGACACGACGTCTGGACCGAATGTGAATGAGACTCCTCTATCGTTTTCACCCCAACCCTAGAACATTAATAGGCGATTAGAGAAATCCTTACTATATTAATCGATGCGTTGAGATTTGCTCGTATAAAAGCATCTCACCTGTACATCTTTATCAGGATCGGACCATAAAAGATCACAGAGGAGACCGGTATCAGGTACATCAGTTGGACGCATGATTCTTCTGATTTGCTCCATTCCCTAAACAATACAAAGTATAAATATATCTTTATTGCACTTTTACCCAATCGAATAAGTTTCTTTTTATACGAGAAAAGAATCAAAGAATCTTTTTAGTCACCTGCAGATCAGGACTGAGCCCGCCATGGCAACAGAAGATTTTTTCATCGATAATCGCGGCGATCGGCAAGCAGTTAAAGCAGTCTGTAAAGGTCTTCCAAAGCTTGATGTTATATCGCCGCTTGCACTCGTCGTAAAAGCCATATATCCTGTTTATACTGGCGCATTCGTGATTGCCGCGCAGCAGGAAGAAGTTCTCTGGATATTTGATTTTGTATGCCAACAGCAAGCATATCGTCTCCAAGGATTGCTTC